AAAAAAAAAAAAAAAAAAAAAAAAAAAAAAAAAAACAACGTAAAAACGAAGAATACAAAGAACAGCCAACAAAAAATAAAAAAAAATAAAAACAAAAATATTTTTCAATTTCTCTTCTCCACCTTTTCTGTTTTTTATTTTTTATAATTCCAGAACATTATCTGTTTCCAAAAAAAAAAAAAGGGGGTTGTAGGAATTAAAATTCCCTACGACCCCCCTTTTTTGTCTATTATTTAATTAAGGAAAAATCTTGTAAAATCGGGTCTTTGGTGCGGACCAGGCCGGCCGCGGACGCGGCCACATATACGGCCGCCATCCGAGATCGTTCCATCCCCAAAACCCTGCACTAAAACTGTGTGGAACAGAAAGAACGAAAATCGTCATCACCCCAACCACCACCAACCAACACTGACAAGCCCCTAAAACACTATAAACCTCGCAGACCAAACAACACGAAATGCCTGCACACGAAAACGACACCCTACGCCTCCCAAGGGCCCCGACAACCACGGAATATCGAACCCCTTACCATTTTTCATGCCAAAGACAAATTCAACCTCTGTCGCACCCCTGTTGTAATGCAACCGAGCTTTTTTGGGGAAACTACACGGCAATCACAAAAACGAGTCGTAATTGCAGTATGGGCCAAGATACAGTTCGAAAATGCACCCCTGTCGTAATACAACCGAGCTTTCCCTCCGAATACAATGGCAATAATCGCAATTGCAAACTGTATCTTGGTCCATAGTACAATTATAACTCGTTTTTGTGACTGTACTGAAGTTACCCTTTTTTTTTTTTTGCCCAGCAAGTACCTTACCACGTATCACACAACGGCACAAAAAGAAATCTAGAAAAGAACGGGGGGGGCGGGGGGGGAGAGAAAAAGGGAGGGGTTGTAGTTTTTTTTTTTTTTTTTCACCTTGAAAGGGCAACGAAATCCTACGCCCCCAAACCCATGCACCCAAAAATGGCACCCTGCGCCCCCCTAAGGCCCCAACAACCCAACAATTTCGAACCCCTCTCCCTAAGGCGCAGGGGGTCGTTTTCGGGTGCAGGCCCTTGGGTGGTGTAGGATTTTGTTTCCGTTTGAGGGTGAAACCCATCATACCAAGCAAAACAACTCACCCCCCCACCGGGGCCCACCCCCACCCCCCATCCCCAATGGAAATTTGTATGCTTGTGGCATTACCCTACCACCTATCACACACCCCCACTTCGAACAAATGTAGACAATGGGGGGGTCGGGGGGGTGGGGGGTATTGTTTTGCTTGGTATTATAGGTTTCACCCTCAAACGGAAACAAAATCCTACACCACCCAAGGGCCTGCACCTGAAAACGACACCCTAGTCGCCCCCCAACAGGCCCCAACAACCCACCAATTTCGAACCCCACACCATTTGCCACCCCAACACACAACAAAACCCCGACAAAAATAACCCCCTCCCCACCCCCCCGACCAGTGCTGGAATTAATTTTTTTTTTCCGCTGACGCATACCTCACGACGTGTCACACAGCCCCATTTCGACAAATTTGCGAAATGGGGGGGGGGGGGGGGGG